GGCCATCTGGATGTCTTCTTTAGAGAAGTGTCTATTCACGTTTTCTGCCCATTTCTTCACTGGGTTATTTGTTTTTCGGGTGTGGAGTTTGGTGAGTTCTTTATAGATTTTGGATACTAACCCTTTGTCTGATATGTCATTTGCAAATATCTTTTCCCATTCTGTCGGTTGCCTTTTAGTTTTGTTGATTGTTTCCTTTGCAGTGCAGAAGCTTTTTATCTTCATGAGGTCCCAATAGTTCATTTTTGCTTTTAATTCCCTTGCCTTTGGAGATGTGTCAAGTAAGAAATTGCTGTGGCTGAGGTCAGAAAGGTTTTTCCCTGCTTTCTCCTCTAGGGTTTTGATGCTTTCTTGTCTCACATTCAGGTCCTTTATTTTTGTGAATGGTGTAAGAAAGTGGTCTAGTTTCATTCTTCTGCATGTTGCTGTCCAGTTCTCCCGACACCATTTGTTAAAAAGACTTTTTTCCATTGGATATTCTTTCCTGCTTTGTCAAAGATTAGTTGGCCATACTTTTGTGGGTCCAGTTCTGGAGTCTCTATTCTATTCCATTGGTCTATGTGTCTGTTTTTGTGCCAATACCATGCTGTCTTGATGATTTTAGCTTTGTAGTAGAGGCTAAAGTCTGGGATTGTGATGAGGCTGTTTTGTTGGGACAGCAGTCCTTTCTTTAGACATTGCAAAGTGTTTTAAAAAATAAGAAAATATATTTTCTCATGTTTTTGGACGTTGAGAGGAGGACATGCTCCAATCACAGTACAAAGTGGTTCTGCAGTGTCACGGCAGACCCTAGGTTCTTTTTCTCTCCTCTGCCGTCCTCAGTGTCAGCTTTGCACTAAAGTTATCATGTGTCATAATCAAAAGATACATGCCAATGGCAGTTGGGCTCACAAGTTTCCTAGTGAGAGAGACTCTCTCTGTCTCTCTCCCTGTCTCTTACACACACACACACACACACACACACACACACACACATACACATACACACACACACTGAATGAGTGAGAGAGAGAGAAACCTTTCCTCCAGCCATTAAATTCATTCTGCTTGGGCTAGTTTAGGCCACGTGCCCATCTGTGGACAGGACCACTCACTCTTTGTGTGATATGTTTCGTAGCAACAACAAAGAAAGCAAATAAACAGAGCAAACTGGTCAATTAATGTTGGGAATTGGCATGGGAATGTCTGAATAGCTGCGTGCAGGGCAGTGCTCCGTTCCAGGGGCAGTTTGGACGAGCACTCTGCTCAGTGTGTCATTTGTACTTAATCTTTTCTTTTCTTTCTTTCTATTAGGGGCTCCAGTTTCCAAACCAGGTATGAACTGCCAGCGAGAGCAAGGACCAGGATTTTGGCGTCCGAGCTTTATCAATTCTGGAAAGAGGAACACTGCAGATTGCACCTTGGATAATGAGCAAACAAAACCAGCCCAGGCATCAGCCTGGAGAGATTCCAGGGCCTGGGAGGAACAACACCAATGGGACACGGAGGACATGAAGGTGTCAGGTGTGCACTGGGGCTATGAGGAGACCAAGACTTTTCTGGCAATTTTGAGTGAGTCTCCTTTCTCTGAAAAGCTCCGGACTTGTCACCAGAACCGCCAGGTTTACCGGGCCATTGCAGAGCGGCTGAGGGCAAGGGGCTTCCTGCGGACACTGGAGCAGTGTCGCTACAGAGTCAAAAACCTCCTGCGGAACTACCGGAAAGCCAAGAGCAGCCACCCACCAGGGACCTGCCCCTTCTATGAGGAGCTGGAGGCCCTGGTGAGGGCGCGGACAGCCATCAGAGCCACCGATGGCCCAGGAGAGGCTGTGGTGCTCCCCAGGCTGGGGGACAGTGATGCAGAGATGGATGAACAGGAGGAAGGGGGCTGGGAGCCTGAAGAGACAGCAGAAGATTGTAATGGTGATGACCTGGCCACTGATGAGTCTGTCCAGGAGCCTAGGATTCCAGGGGGCCCAGCTCTGTTCCAGAGTCGTATTGGTAAGCACAAGGGGGTTTAGTGGATCCTGACTCCAACTCTCCTACCAGCCAAACCTCTGCTCCCTGAGTTCAGGGCACAGACTGGATCGCAAGTCCAGATTGATGCCACTGGTGTTAAGTTCCTTAGATTGTCCTCAAACTCCTACTCTTTCCTTCTATGATCAATTTCCTAGAATGAGTTTTCTTAGTTATAGAAGCAAACTTTTAAAAACTTAAGGGACCTTAAAGAGCTAATTCAGTATTAGTTGACCCTTGAACAATGCAGGGCTAGAGTACTGATCTCTGCTCGTTTGATCGATGCACATTCAACTTTTGACTCCCGACAAACTTGACCATTGGTAGCATACTATGGACCAGAAGCCTTACTGATAGTATAAATAACATGTATTTATATGTTATATGTATTATATGTATATTCTTACAGTAAAGCAAGCTAGAGAAAAGGTGTTGTTAAAATCATAAGAAAATACATTTACACTACTGTATTATATATATAAAAAAATCTGTTGTATAAATGAATCTGTGCAGTTCAAACCCATCAACTATATTTGCCAAAGTGTGTCACTAGGAGTATGGATGGTCATAGTGTTACACGAGTGTTCCTTTTTTTTTTTAAGTTTTTAATGTTTATTTTTTTGAGAGGGACAGAGACAGTGTGACTGGGGTAGGGGCAGAGAGAGTGAGAGAGAGAGAATCCCAAGCAGGCTCCACGCCACCAGCACAGAGCCTGATGTGGGGCTCAAACCCACGAAACCATGAGATTATGACCTGAGCCAAAACCAAGTGTCGGACGCCTAACCGACCGAGCCACCCACGTGCTCCACACGAGTGTACTTTTAAGTTTAATGTGCATGAGAACATCAACTTGTGATTTTACGGTAAATTTAGGTAAGGAAAGATACTGAGTGAAGTTTTTAATATATAACAGAAATCACAACAGTATATAGTTGAACAAGTGATGTTTGAGAAACACCCAGTCATTGTAAAAGTGGAAAAACACTGAAGCCCAAGAGATGGAATGTCTTATGTAAAGTTACACAGTGAGGTAGGGGCAGAGTCAGGATCAGAGCCCAGAGTTCCTGCCTCCATCTTTATGTAGTTTTCCTCTCCACGATGCTGCCTCCCCAGGCTGCATCATTTACCTGCCGAGGAACTGAGAACAGAACACTTCCTGTTCATTCCTCCAAAAAGAGGAAAGGGCATCCTTAGTTGGATGCTCTTGTAACATTATTTGAGTTACGTTTCTGTCTAGGGACTCTCAGTTCCCTTGTTTGTTGAGAAGAAAGTTCATAAAATAAAACTAGAGGAATGTATTGAATGGATATAGAGAAAGTCTCTTAGATCCCAATTACAGGCCTTTCCCCACACCAGTCAACTGAAGCCAGAAGTGGGGTCACCTGGTATAATATGGCCACCTATATCTTTTTCAGCTAAGGCTCAAGAGTTAATGGAAAGTCTTAGAATTGGGTGGGGGTGGGAGACTCTGGCGCACCCCTCAGAAGCAAGGGAATATTCTTTGCTGGTGCCCCAGGTGCCTGGGAAATTTCTCCGTTGCCTGTGTTCTAGGCATGTATTGGAACGGGGGCCCCTGATCCCTGATGACCTGGGCTAGTCTCATTATGCCTCACAGTTCTGAACTCTTCACTCCCGACAGCAGGTGTGCACTGGGGCTACGAGGAGACCAAGGCCTTCCTGACCATTCTCAGTGAGTCCCCATTCTCTGAAAAGCTTCGCACATGCCACCAGAACAGCCAGGTTTACCGGGCCATTGCAGAGCGGCTGTGTGCACAGGGCTTCCTGCGGACACTGGAGCAATGTCGGTACAGATTCAAAAACCTCCTTCGAAGCTACCGGAAAGCCAAGAGCAGCCACCCACCAGGGACCTGCCCCTTCTATGAGGAGCTGGACTCACTGATGAGGGCACGGACTGCGGTCAGAGCCATGGGAACCCTCAGGGAGGCAGCGAGTCTCTCTAGGTCTGGGCAGAGCAGTACTGAGGCTGATGACCAGGAGGCCTGGGATGAGATGGCAGATGAAGTTGGCCTCAAATCTCCCACCCTGTGTCCAGACATCCCAGACACTGGTAAGCCTGGAGTAATTCGATGTCCACCAAATCCACAGGCATGAGAGATTAAGGGGGCCGGATCATTATCATTTGCCTCTGAACTACAAGAGTGGGTGGAATTGACCAGGAAAAGCATTTGTGATTTGCTTAGTGTAATTGCCCAAATGAGAGAAGTAGTCAGGTCTTGATTTTACGGGGATTTTTTGGTAAATTATAGAGTTTATTCAATTTCACAAGATAAGAGGCTATATGGAATGTACTAGGAGAGGGAGGTGTTCCTTATTGAGTAGAGGGATGGGGAAGTTGGCCAGAGAGACTGACTAGCTGATTGTGTGTGTGGCCTGGGCCTCATGGCTCCCTTGGCAGGGTCACCTTGTTCCAGGCTCTATTCTCTGCTTTGCAGGTCACACATTTATATATGCACTGGAACTTGAGAAGTTTCACATTAGTCACATCATAAGATGTGAGATAGAAAATATAAGATACGTGGGGCGCCTGGGGGCTCTGTCGGTTAAGCATCCGACTTCAGCTCAGGTCATGATCTCATAGTCTGCGAGTTCGAGCCCCACATCGGGCTCTGTGCTGACAGCTCAGAGCCTGGAGCCTGCTTCAGATTCTGTGTCTCTCTCTCTGCCCCTCTCCCTGCTCACACAGTCTCTTTCTCTCAAAAATAAACATTAAAAAAAAAAAAAGAAAATATAGGATATCATTGTAGCTAAATTTGTAAGACACAAGATAAGATATATAAGTAGATATTAACTAATGAACGAAGAAAACTGCATTTCTGTGTATTTTCAGGTTTTGAGATGAGGCATAAGGACGAAGACCAGATTTCAGAGCAAGATATTTTTGAGGATTTGCCTGGAGCCTTATCAAAATGTACTGGAGAGGATGTTTGCCACCCTCATGACTGGGGGCAAGACAGTGAAAATGAAGGTGGAGGTGAAGGGCAGTGGGGAAATCCCCCCCAGGAGCAGTGGGAAGAATGTTCTTCTGAAGAGGACTTAGAAAAACTTATCGACCACCAAGGCCTGTACCTGGAAGAGAAGCCCTACAAGTGTGACACGTGTGTGAAAAGCTTCAGTCGGAGCTCGCACTTCATTGCCCACCAGCGGATCCACACAGGCGAGAAGCCTTACAAATGCCCTGAATGTGGGAAAGGCTTTAGCGATCGCTCCAACCTCAATACCCATCAGAGAATCCACACAGGAGAGAAGCCCTACAGGTGCCTTGAGTGTGGGAAAAGCTTTAGCGATCACTCCAATCTTGTCACCCACCAGAGAATCCACACAGGGGAAAAGCCCTATAAATGTGGGCAATGCTGGAAAAGCTTCAACCAGAGCTCCAACCTCCTGAAACATCAGAGAATCCACGTGGGAGGCAATCCTGATCATTGCTGCGAGGCAGGGGAAACCTTTGGCCAAAGCCCATCCTTCAGTGCTCCCTGGAGGAACTCTACGGAAGAGACATCTCTTGAACAACCTCAGAGTGCCAGCAAGAACTTGAATTCTGGCCCACATGGCACCAGCTCAGGGGAAAAGCTGTATCCGTGTCCTGAATGTGGAAGAACCTTCTCTAAGAGCTCTGCCCTCATTAGTCACCAAAGGATCCATACGGGAGAGAAGCCGTATGAATGTGCTGAATGTGGGAAGAACTTCAGTAAGAGCTCCACGCTGGCTAACCACCAGCGAACCCACACGGGGGAGAAGCCATACACGTGTGTGGACTGTGGGAAGGGCTTCAGTGAGCGCTCCAAGCTCATCACGCACCAGAGAGTGCACACGGGAGAGAAACCCTACAAATGCCTTGAGTGTGGCAAGTTCTTTCGTGACCGTTCCAACCTCATTACTCACCAGCGGATTCACACGGGAGAGAAGCCTTACAAGTGCAGAGAGTGTGGGAAATGTTTTAACCAGAGCTCCAGTCTCATTATTCACCAGAGAATCCACACTGGGGAGAAGCCCTACAAGTGCACAGAGTGTGGCAAAGACTTCAACAATAGCTCCCATTTCAGCGCCCACCGGAGAACCCACGCAGGAGGAAAAGCATCGTAGGAGGCCCCCCGCCCCCCGTCACGGCAAAGAGAGAAACGCATATTGAAATCTCCCCGGAGCGTAAGATGTGTGCTAGGAGCTTTCCGAATTCTTACGCTTGGTGTATACCCAGGCAAGTTATCTTGGCCTAATCCAGGTTATTTGGAAGTGAATTACAGATGCTAAGGGTCTGGATTTGAAGGCACTTTTCTTAAGTGTAATTTGTTTTTCTCCTGTTAAAAAACCCTGTGCAACCCTCAGGCCCTCCTTATATTTGCTGTCACGTGAGGACTTGATCAGTGTTTGAGCCAAACTGGTCATGTAGGAGTTTAGAGGTACATTAGGGGTCCTGAGCAGTGAGTCCAAACCTCGCTGTGCCTTCACACTGTCCACAGGTACACGTGTTCTGTTGGCACACATCAAATTCTCACGTGGCGGATTTCGGTTGGGGTGTATCCGTACAGGAGAGCTTTAAGACTGGCGAGAGAGGGCATAATTGGGAATCAGTGGCTTAAAGCAGACCGCCATGACCTCAGCAAAGAGGAGGAACCTCAGTGATGTCCTTGATAAATTATTAACAATAGCAAAAGTAGCTGGTATTTATCGAGCACTTACTCTGGCAGGCTCCGTGCTAAGCACTTTGTGCACATCATCTCATCTCCTCCTCACAGCGGTGCCGGGAGATAGGTACTAATAGTGTCCCCATTTCCCAGAGGAGAGAGCCGAGGCTTGGGAAAGCCAAGTAACTTGCCTGGTGGCGCATCTGAAAATGGCAGAGGCAGGCTTTAACCAGATCTGTCTCTGGAGCCTAAGGTGTTCCTGACCATTCTCCTGAATCCCCTTCTGCATTAGGGCAGGTAACTCAGGTGTGAGGATCCCAAAGCACTTTGTGGACCACATTTCCTACTAAAATTCCTTTATGAATTCTCCTTTTAGCAAATAGGGAAACCGAGAATCCCTAAAGAGCAGAGGGCCTGGGATGGTCTGAACCGGCAATGCTTTGAGCAAGACTGAGCTATTATTAAAGCACTTGCTGTGGGTTTCTATCTTTGCAACAATATGGGTGAGCGATACAGGGGGTTGAGACAGGGAAGACCTGTAACCACAGTGATGTTTCTCCCCATGAGATACTGCTTTGGGGAAGGAAATGGGGTTTAAGAATTTCCCTTTCCTCAGGGAGTCAGTCCTGCTCAAGTTAGACTTGGCTGAACTGAACGTTAAGCCTTACAGGAACTTGGGCCTCTAGTTTTGCCTCCCCGGGCCTTTCCCTGTTGGCGGAAGCTGTGTTTCTGATGGCCATGCCATGGCTGATCAGGGGGGAGGTGGGAGGAGTTGGTGTGCTCCCACTGAGAGGGCACCGAATGCTGTCCTGCAGCCCAGCTGCATGGCACAATTTCATCCTGTGAGAAGGAGCGTGAGGCAGCCGGGTCCTCACATGCTGAAGAATGCAGCGGTCAGGACCTATGGGTGCCCTGGGTTCTCCCTGCTTTATCCCGTTCCTGCACCCCCGGTCAGGGATAGCTCCCTGCCTCCAGGCTGCAAAAAGTTTGTGTTTAGTCACTTTGTGGAGAAGGGTAACCCCCTTTGGGGACGGGGGTGCAGAGCTTTGAAGTACTGAGTGCGTGCGGGTGTGGTGCGAAGCCACAGGCTGCTGTCTGAACTTCCGTCCTGGGGCTGCTGCGGACGGCATTGGCTCCCCAGTGTGTACGTACCCGGGACTTCCAGATCTGTCTCCTGCCCTGGGCTCTCCTCTTAGGAGCCCGGTCTCCGCCCTGCCAGTCCAACCTGAGTGACTCCGGGGCCTCTCCAGCCACCTGTGCCCCCCCTCCTCCCCCCCCCACCCCCCCACGCACTGTGACCCCCTGCAGCCATCTTCAGCCTGGGCCCATCCATTCGGCATGCACGTTACGTACACACTGGCCCACAAAGCAGCCTCCTTCATACAACGCCGGTGAGGCACACACAGTCAGACTCCTACAGACTCAGGGCCCCAGACACGCTCTCCCTCCTAAGGGCATTTTCCAGTGGGCCGTGGTTCCCCAGCACCGCGGGCAGTCTTCCCAGTGGAGCCTACGGTCAGAATGAATGTGGTGAAGCATCCCCTTCTCTCAGTCTTGATGCCACCTCTCCTTCCGATGCTCCTTAGTGTCCTCTCTGAGCAGCAGACACCAGTGTCGAGCCCCTGCCCAGGCTGCGACTGGAGGCTCGTGCTACATGTAGCGCGAGGTCAGGGAAGGCCTGGCAGGAGAGGGGTTCAAGTTGTGCCGGAGTCCAGGGGGGCAGCCGCTGCTTCCCGCGGCTCCTGGCTGCTGTCTCTCCCGACATCACCATTACCACTACCGTGTCTTTAGCGCCATCTTTTCCGTCACTCTGACTAGAGGCAAATCTGGAACTATCTCCACCTCCCTCTACTTCCCCGCCCCATGCTGGGGACCTCACTGCCCTCTGGTGCACTTCCCACCCGGTCCCTGTCAGAACCCTGGGAGGAGCCTGCGCCCGGTGACCCTGCCCTGTGCTGCCCGGAGGAAGAGGCCCCTCTTCTCAGTGTGGCTCAGGCTCCCCACTTCTCAAGGCTGAGAGCTGCTTTGTTCTAAGAGCCACTTAGCTGAGTCAAGAGCGTCAGAACGGGCAAGGGCAGGATCCAGTTGAACAATTTTACCTACACACAGTGAACAGATAGAAAAAGGGTCCACACAGACATCACGTTTCTAATGAGGGTGCGGTGAGGGATTCCCTTGATATGGGAACCGTTCTGATCCTGTCTGCTATTACGTAATACTTTCTGAAGTCACATTTATTTTTCACATTTTCATTGTTGGAAAAGACTCCATAACTGTGGCGCCTAGAGGGTGAGGAAGGGAGAAAAAGGAAACACAATGTGCCTCTAAGGCTGGTTCTGGATCAGCCTTACAGATTCATGTGAGCCCACGCAGGAGAGGAGCCTCGGGCAGCAGTGACCGAGCCACTGGCACTGGAATCTCTTGGGAGTCACCGGGGCTCAGGGAGCCCTACTGTGGTGCCAAGTGACAAATATAACACCTGGGGGAAAGGACTCCCCTTCTTTCTTCAATGTAGAACATGGCCTGGCCTCAGTTTTTTGGGGCGTCCACAGACCACAGAGAAGCTTCTGCAAAGTTAGAGGCAATGGAGATGAGCATGAGGGTCAAGGGCATGTCCTGGTGATGGTGAGCAGCTGCTTTGAGACCCTCACTCCAACTTCACCGGGTAGGGGGTGGGCAGGGCAGGAGAATACCCCTATAGACAGCAGCCGACAAGGAAAAGCTTGTTCACGATCATATATGCAGCCCCTGACCCAACCCCAGTCCTGAAGTTTCCCAGAAACAGAGGAGGTGAGGCAAGCCGGGCTGGAGGTCACGCTAAGCCCTTCCGGCACATCCTGGGCATTTTCTCCAGGGACTTTCCTTGAGCAACTAATTTCTTATGAAAACTAGACATTGGTGATTGATCTTAGTGACTGTGAAATGAAAATGGGATAAATTTTGGCCACCAGGAGGCTCAGAGGTTCAAGATCCAGTTCCAAAAACTGAGCAGGCCCTTTTGGTTAGCAATTTGTGCATCGATCCCTGACTTCATTTTGTCTGGCTTTGTTTTCACTTCCTTATCTTTTACTATTTTCTGTTTTTTTTGGTGGTATGTACATCTCTTAAAGCTGGTCAAATCCTATTTTGGGATGCAGTGGCCTGATGAATTAATAAATTATTCTGATGAAACAAAGAAAAAATAAGACTGTTTTGGATTCTTCTGGCATTTTCCTTGTTGAACTCAAAGCATGGAGGAAAGGGGGTGTAAATCAGGGGTACACATTGAGGCTGTGGGGGAGGATTGGGGCGCATGATCTCATACCCTTTGTGCTGGACTGGTATCTTCCTTTCACTGTTCTCCGTGGTTCTTCATACATGAGTGGATGTACGAGCTCATGAGGCGTTACCTTTTGTCCATAACAGGTGGCTCCTCGGTCTGCTGGCCATCTCCACATGTCTGCTTTGATATTTCCCCTGGGGTCTCTGTGTTAGGAAATCTGAGGTATCTGGGACCCAAATGATGCAAAGATTATGGATGAAAAGAAAGAAAGGCTTGCCAAAGGGGCCGAATTTTACCTGACTCTTCTGATTTGCCCCCCCCCCCGGCCCCCAGTTCAGGAACAGAGCTGACACACTTTGTACTTGAGGAGGGCCCAGGTGGAGGGTCTCTATGGGGGTTCTTTCCCCTCCTTTCTTCACCTACCCCTTTTGGTAATGTCCAGAAGACGTTGTGGCTGAAGACACTTAAGTTTCCTAATCAAATTTCAGTCTGTATTTTTGTGAAGTGGGTTATAGGCAACTCTTTGCCTTTTAAATTCTGCTGTCCTTGAATTCTGGTTGTGAACTGGTAGAGGGTGGGGAGAGAGTGATATTTCAGATTTGGACTTGGCCTTGATCAGAATCCACTGGAAATTGTTTCTTCCTGTAGGAGTCAGAATCTCCAATGTAGATTATAGTAGTGGTTGGGATGGGCTAATGGTCTGCACATCTGGGGACAAAGATGAGATCTGGGAGAAAATTAGTCATTGTCACCCTGGAAGAGAAGTTCCAGGTTGTGTTGACATGTTTTCATGTAACCTCTTTCTAGCAGTTACTCTGAGAGTGACCAGATCCACAGGGTTTGCCTTCCTGGAAGACAGGACAGAGGGCACAGGCAACTCATTACCATGTTCTTGCCATTAGCAGGGAGGGCCCAGAGGTCAGTTACAAATGTCAGGGGCCATGAAAGTTGACCAGCCAACCCAGGCAGGAACAAGAACTTTTTTATCAATCTAGATAGCTAGAGCTGGCTATGACTAATATGACCGAGAAAGCAGTACTAGGAAAAAACCCAGAGAGATGCTCCTGGGCCAGGGCTGGCTTTCTGTTGGCTTTCGTGTCAATAGGCTGCTGGGTGCCTGTGTTGTCACAAGTTCTGGGCTGCGCCAGGAACCTGACTAGGCACCTAATTCCCAGATTGGCAGTGGGAATCACCAGGTG